ACGGCCTTTTCCTCTCAGAGGTTCCCCATCACACCTATGGCTGGCTGGCTGTGTAGCCAGGGGACAGGGCAGGGGGCCTCTCTGAGCAGGTATTCTCATACTATTTGACACAGCACTTATGTTCTCAGTGTGTAAAACAGCAGGGAACACCCAAAGGCCTGGACTCCCCTCCCTGGGTTGGGAATTGCCCCTTCAGCTACCCAACTGAAAGATGTCTCCCTCTTGTCAAGACAGGTGAGGTAGAACCATCACTAAAGGCTCCCTCAGCCCTCAGACAAGGTGTCACACTGTGAAGGCCAAGTCAGGAAGTCTGCAAACACAGAGCTGTCCCTCAGCGGGCTGGTTGGAAAGAGGGGGCCCCTGATGTGGCTAAACCCCCACAATAAAGGGCCCCAGCATTGAGGGATCTGACTGGGGGTTTCTGTCAGCTTGCAGGGCTGATGTGAGGACCCAGAGATGGAATTAGCCTCTGAAACATCTAGACCAGGGGTGTTCAACTGCAGGAGTGCTCAAGCCCCAGCCCATGGGCCAGACTCTGGCCCCTGACACCTTGTCATCTGGCCTGCAGGGCTTCCCATGGATCCATGAGGAGCCCCACGAGCCATGGCACTGCACACTAGATGAGGCAGCATGGTGCCCCAGAGCCCAAGCCTCACAGGCTGGACCAAGCGGAGGTGGCATGGGGCCCCGATCCTGGTGAGTGGGACTGAGCAGAGGCAGTTTGGGGTCCTGGAGCCCCAGTCCCAGCACATGGGGTCTTGCAGGGGCAGTGGGGTCTGGATCCAGGTCTGTGGGTCTGAGTCAGCCTGAGCACCAGCTCTACATCATTCATTAGGCCCACAGGGTCAAAAGGGTGGGTACCACTGATCTAGACTGATTTCTTGTCATGATGCACGATAGACACCTTAGGTTAGGACCAGATGAGGAGATGCATGGTCCGGATATCAGGTCTGCCTTTCAATTGCTGCTTAATTGTTGTCAGCTTATCTTTATAAGCCAGGGCCCCTGGTGCTGCTGCCCCAGATGCCACCCTCCTTTCATTATGGGGAAGAGCTGTTGGGAGGGCAGATAGGAGTGCTTGAAGCAGCTGGCTGGGTGGATCCCATGATGAAAGGGTGTGAACACAACAGAGGTGGAGCTCAGGAGAGGACATGCTGCAGATGGAAATGTTCCACTGGCATCCTGAAGGGCTGGATCAGAGAGGAGCCTTGCCCTATAATATATATTACAGATTTTCCCTGAGTCAGGCTGAAGAGGGGCTGGGTTTAGCACAGTGAGAGCTGCCCCCAGGCACCTTCGTCTGTGTGGCAGAAGAGTGCTGTTCATAACAGGGCTCTTCACAGAAGGGAAGAATTTTTAGTGAGATAGACAGGGACAAGTGTTTTGGCAGAGTCCACGCCAGCAAACCCAGGCCCCTTGTCATGGGTGGCCCATGCTCCCCAACCAGCTGTACAGCTACGTTCACTGTGTGCACTACTCCGTGAGGAGGCAGCACCCTCAGAGCAGCCAGGCTGTGGGCAGCCCCTTATGTAGCATCTGTGCAGAGCATTTGGTGAGTGGATTTCCACATTTTCTGAATAACCAGTCACAGGGCTTGTACAAAACTTGGCAGCAGGGGCCAGGCTAGTAGAGTGGCTGCTTGGGGCTCTGGGTCAGGTACAAAGATGCCTGGGGGGGCTGGAAAAGCCTGTGGGTGAAGGCTGAAGTGAGTCTGAGAGCTCTGGGTACATGAGGGGACAGCTGGGGTGCCATGGCAGGTGATCAACATGAAGGAAGTGCTGGGGAGGGGGGCTGGCCCAGCATGGAGGGAAGGATGAGGGCAGGTAGAGAAGCAGCCCCAGTGTGGCCAGATGAAGCAAGAGCAGGGATATTCCTCAGCTGTGTTACCTAAGCTCTGCTGGGCTGTAGGTGGGAGCGATGCCAAGGCTGCCAGATGTTGAGAGATGCCAGGTGCTGGCAGCCTTATCTGTGAGTTCCTGGATGCCGCTCCTCCACCCCTGCTTGATCAACAGCAGTCCTGCTATAACAGAAGCAAGGAGTGCAGCCTCCCACCATTGTGCGCTCTCAGCCCTCTCCCAGGAGTGGTCCCTGACACCCTGGGGCCTAGCTCGTGGCTGTGCCACCAGTGGGGTATAGAGCAGACTCAGCCATCTTGGCAGCAGGGAGGTCAGAGGAGGGCAGTGTTCTCCTCCGTAGTGCATTGCTGGGCAAAAGGGCCAGGGTACAGCCTTGCCGTACCTCAGCAGTGGCACGGTGTAATTAATGCATGCTTTGGCAGCACCCAGCCATCCTCCACTCACAGGGGTGAGGCTGAGGGTGTCTTTGCTTTCATTGGCACCATCTCACACCCCAGCCATTGGGTGGGGAGCCCATCACCACTGGCTCTGATCTACTGAGCCAACAGCATGGTTGTGAGGGAGCACAGCACATTTCTTGTGTCAGCAGGGCCTCAAGGCTGTCTTGTCTGACTAAGCTGAGTGTTAGAGGCTTGAACATCTACACATGTCAAAGTTTATTTGGTGATGGGCCCAGAGCCAAGCCAGGAAGATCTTTGTCATGTTGCCCAGTACATTGTAGTGCTTGGGAAACACGGAGGAGTCGGAGCTGGCCCTGAAACGGAGGCTGCCTGCCAGTGCAACCCAGTCACTCATGCACTCACACAGAGGCAGGGATGTGTACCTGCCCTCTTGTGTACCCCTCATGCATGCACACAGCTCTACACCCACACCTACACCTACTGATCCACATACAACTGTACATACATGGACAGATTCATGCATGCATAGATGTCCCCACAACTGTAGCTGTGCTGCCCCATTGAAATGCCCCCGTGTCCACAGAGGTTCATAGCCAAAGAGATGTGTGCACATCTGTGCACCAGCTTGCATAATGCATGGCCCCTCTGCCCTGCCTGGCCCAGGCATCTGCAGGGAGGACAGTCCCTCCTTGGGTCACAGTTCCTCTTTGGAAGAGTACTCTGGAGTGGAGGTGGATGTGGGGTCCTCTGGAGCAGAGCTGGCTGCGGGTCTCCTGGTGTAGGGCTCTCCTGGTGTGGTGCTGACCATCTTCCATCTCTCCCAGATCTATTTAATCTGGATGATGTGCATGCAGCAGCAGTATGAGTGGCTGGGTGATATCATCCATGAGGTAGAGGAGAGCGACTGGCTTGGTCTGGTCTCTGTGCACTTCTACATCACCCATCTGGGTGGGTTCAACCTGTGCACCACCATGCTGGTAAGTGCCTGACACCAGCAGGGGAGAGGTCCAGGGGAAACCAGGAGCAGGTCAGGGGTCAGTGCATTCCCAGCTGGGGAGGGTCTGGGTGGTAGGACACCCTTTGCTGTGACACAGAGACCAGTACCTTCCTCGGGGCAGGGAGCCAAGTGGGACAGCATCCAGCTTGAGGGCCAGTTTAGGCAAGGATGTGGGAACAGGGCAGGACTGCACAGCCTGGATGCTTTGAGGCCGCTTCACAGCTCCCCTCATGGTGAGTCCTGCCTAGTGTTTGGGAGATGCATCATGGGAACAGCTATTGTCCTCTAAGGGCACAGGTCAGGACTTGTGGGTGATGCTGGCTGAGGGCTCCCCTTGACCCTCTGTGCCAGGCTGCCACCCATCCATGGGGGGGGGGGGGGTTCCTCTGTGCCAGGCTGCCCCCCATCCATGGGGGGGGGGGGTCTTGTCCCAGGCTCCCTGTCCCTGCTCTGACTTGTTGCTGCCCTTCTCCTTCCAGTATA